CACGTCGACATTGCGATCAAAAGTCCTTGCAAAGAGGGGGCCATTGTACGTATGCACGTGAAGGAAAAAACCTTCAGGATAATTTCTGATTGGTTAATCCCAAGTTTGCATCAGTTGTTCACATGCTTAGCAGCCAAAGTTCGATATTTATCAGATATTTTGTAATATTAACAGGGCTAGAAAACGGTTCCTTTGTTCTGCCAAGGTACTTGGACCTTGTACGTACCTGGTACGGATTAATTGTTGTGACGCAGATGCGTTGGCAGACTGAAAACACCCTCGGGCAGATAGAGCCTTCAGAACATATTACTCCATTAACCGCAATTTATAGCTTTGCTTAAATTGATTATTTAATGAAGTTGAATATGTTGGAAAAGAGACAGATAGTTAAAATCGAACAACTGGCAACTAAGCAAGACAACAATAACTTGGAACACATTTTTGTGGCATATATTTTGGGCAGAGAAGTGCTCGAAAACAGTTCCGGCCGAACTGTCTAGAGGCTCTCGCTAACCTAAGTTTTATCTAGAGAAACAGGCGAATCTCTAGACTGCAGAGGGCATGCTTGGCTCTGTGCATGTCGTTCAGCGAGCTGAGACCTAGTTGGACTGGTGAACAACTATTGGTATAGGGCACATTACCCAGGGTACTCAAAGCTGGCTGAGGATACACGCAAAAACTGTAGGTTGTTCTAGAGGAACAGGCGGACCTCTAGATAACAGGGGAACAGGCGAACCCCCGTTCAGATCCGTCAGGCCGTCGACATTGAGACCTAGTTGGACTGGTGAACAACTATTGGTATAGGGCACATTACCCCGGGCCGCAACTGATAACCTGACTGACCACATCGAGTCTCTAGGACTGCTCATTCAGGTCTTCAGTGCGACCTGAATGAGCAGTGATTGCGCTTCACGTGGTGAAGTGTTGTCCATCGGACAGCACTTCCCTGCCATTAATGACAATCTATACGAAGTATAGGTTGTCGTTTCCGCCACGGGAAGCAGCGCAGAGTCGACCGGGTCGGCAATAAAGTGAAAAAAGGGGTGGTTAAAGAATAAAATTATTGTTTTTTTTTGCTTTGCGTTTAGCATGTCAATATTAGGCAGATTCGTTAAATGTTTGAACTTTGTTGTTGTTTTTATATGAAAGAACTAATTGCAGACCCGTTTCAGTTCATTGCCGACGCGGCCAAGTCCGGCTATGTCAATTTAACGAAGTCAAAAGGCCCGAGGTTCACTAGAGAATGCTGTTCACTTGATGCTGACACTTATGCTAAGGCTGGGTAATCAGGGAGGCCAGGAAAAAACCTGCAGTACAGGAAAACCTGGGTAGGGCCAAGACCACCCGCAGCTCCCCACATAGCTCTATCTTTACAAGTGTAAGAAGAATCAGCATCATGGTAAACAGCACCATACCTAAGACTGCAAACGATAACGTCGTAGCGAGGGTTGTAATAGTAGCATAGTGCTTTTACCCTTTTACTCTGCGGGTTTACAAGTAGGCTGGCATTTTGAACTAGCTGCTTTTTCTACAACCAGTATAAAGTGTTTATAACCATTTTATTCCTGCAAGTATCCAAGTTAGGTTATATTTTGAATTTGCCATTGTTTAAACTGGATTATAGAAACTTCTGAGCGTTATAAACTACTAGTTAAACCTCAGTAAAACCTCGTCCTCGCAATTCATGCAGGAACATTACAATACATATAGACAGTTCATAGGTTAGAATGTTTTAGAGTTCATAATCGAGCGATGAGGCTGCAATCCGGGAATAGTCTTCGGTTCAGATAGCAGGAGTGAACATCACCAGAACGCATTCGAGTTTGTTGTTCGCCTTAAAAACAAAAGGAAAGACGCAAGAGAAAAAACGAGTGCTCTACCTGTACAGTGAGAAATTTGTGGAACTAGGTGATGAATGTATAGGTGGAAAGATAACTGAATAGTTAACCTGCATCTAAGGACGAAAAACGGACTCGTATTCATTTATGCAATGTTCGTTCCTCAAAATCCAAGATCTGATTGATTATGTTAGTGAATATAC